CAAATCGTTTAAACAGGTCATTAAGTTTAGTAATGTGGATCGGTCTTTGATAAAACCGTGTTGTTCTTTTGGCAAGACGTCATGGCTCTTGAACAAATCAGAGATATAATTGCTTAAGATGGATTTCATTATTTTACAGGCAATTGGGACGAGGCTTATTGGACGATAGTCGGATGGACTGAGATTGTCAACCTTTTTAAAAATAGGTGTCACCGAAGCAATTTTTCAGTTAAAGGAAGTGTGTGAGATGTAAAGGAAGATGTCATAATAATGGATAGAGGTAAAGCCAAATATTCTTTTAAAAGCATTGCAAATAAATTGTCAGTTCCAGGTGAGGAATTTGATTGAATTTTTTTGAGATTTTCTTTAACAATGGGTCATGTTCACATGTCAGATATGCTAGTCTATAAATTATATAGTAATAGTTAGTCGCTATACAAGTTATTCTAAATAGTCAGTTCGTTAAAAAAGCCAAAAGTTTTTAAATTAAGCCCAATTTAAGTTTAAAATTTCAAATTATACGTCATCGGGAATAGACCAATCATCTTGTGTCGAAGTTTTTTTTGTTATACAAAACCAAGCCAACGAACAAACCGACACACAGAATGTCGAAGTGAACGCATCTAAGTGACATTAAAATTGACACCAACTAACACCTAACCTTAGTTTTTTGTTTTGGTTTAATTTTATTATTAATATGAATTTTTCAGCTGGATTTATAAAAGTTAAATCAAGTGTTTTACCCATTGTAAACGAAAATATGATTACCGAGATGATTACTGCATTTTTTAACAATACTCAGTTTACAAAAGACAGAAAGGTAAGACTTTATTTATAATTTGTTTTAATAGTAGGTAGTTACAGTTTATATGGAGCAATACACCTTATATGTAGTAAAACATATTTATCTCAGGTTTTATTTTTTGATCTGCCAAGCAAGAATATGGAGATAATTACTTTTTCCATAAGAGAGAAGGAGAAAAATTACACCTAAACATAAATTACGGCAAAAACCTTATGATGTGGTTGTTGTAATTAACAAAAATGAAATTTTTAGTGCACAATGCTTAGGATATGCTGCATCTCAAGGTTTGTAATATTTATTATGCTTTTTTGTTTATATATCACATATAATAAACAGTGTATAACGCCCTTTATTTCTATAAATATTTTTTTTCTAATTTTGACACATAAAGAGACATTTTTTGTAATCGCAGCAAGTGTTAAAATAATCTAGAAATAGATTTTGTTAGTGAACCTAGTAATAATTATGATACCAAAGAATGCTGCAGAGCACCTATGAAATTTTGAGTTAAAACATGCCATATTTTTAGGCTAAAAAAATTGCTATTTTTAAATAATACAGGGTCCTTTGTTGGAACAAAGTCAGCAGGACACTTCAGTTTTTTAATTTGTTTTTTTATATATAAAAACAACTACTTATGACACATGTTTAGGCTGCTTTAAAATCCTAAAAATGTGGTAAGTATATTTGTTTTCAGAAAAAAAAAAAACGTTGAAGTCAGCAAGGAATTGCGATTTTTTTTAAAAATGCCAAATTTCGAATATTTTATAATATTGTAGGAGCCAAAAAACGTGGTGTGGTTTAAAAAAAAAACTGGAGTGCTCTGCTGGATTCGTTTGAAGCTAACAAAGCATCCCGTAATTTTTTTTTTTATAATACTCAATAGCCTAAAGTGAGACATAGCTGTTTAAACAAAAAATTGTACTTTTAAAAATAGCAGTTTTTTTCGAAAAGTTCTATAATATTTCAAAAATGTGAAAATGTGGTGAGATTGTTTTTTTTTAAGTTTTGAAAATCCGAGGTTCTTTACTGGATTCGTTCAGAGCTAGTAAAGCTCTGCTCGTATTGTTACATAAAATTAGGTATTTTGTAGCTGGTTATAACCCTTTTATTTTTTCAGGTGGTTGTAAACATGTGGCTTCATAGAAGAAGTGAGGAACCATCTGTAACATCTACTCAGTGTTATTGGAAAGGCTCTAATTTATCAAAAGCGTAAATATTGATGTACACTTGGCTAGATTGTTAAAGAAACCTCTTCATCCACTACTGGAAAATAAATCAGTACTTTTATATTCTTAGGATTTGTATAAATATTTTTTATTTCTAAATAAATTGTTTTTTACTTCATTTTTCTAATTTTTTATTAAATGGTTAATAAATAAAATTTTCAGATTTTTATATTTTTGTTTGTAAATAATAATTGAAGAGTTTTTATTAAAATCACCAATGTTAATAATAATAACTTAAGTCAATATTATTCTTTCTCCTTTCTTAAAGCTACTATCAATAAAGGTATTACTTTAGCTGGACCTATGATCAATTTTTAATTTTGTGATATATTTGGTTTGACAGAAAAAAATTATAACCCTTTGACATTAGTTGTTTTTCCTTAGATTTTCATAAAAAATAAACGGAACTGCAAACATGTTTTACTATCGTAATAACGAATAGCAACATTAAATTTTTTTTCACATTTATCACTGTTGTCATTTTCGTAAAGGATTCATAAGAAGGCACACTTTCTGGTTTTTTGAAAAAGGTGGCAAGAATTGTGATATTTTTAAATTTATCACCAGTGATACCACATGTAGTTACCGGATTTATTGGAATATATAGACTTTGCTACCACATTCAACTGAACTTGGTTGTTTTTAATATTTATCACTGCTGCAAATAGGTGCCTTTGGTTTGGTAGTTTTAGTCCCAAAAAAATCTATGCATATACAGGTACTCATTCCTCTTTGATTAGCTCGAAAAGTTAAAATTTTATAAAAAATTACAATGGCTGTTTAAAAACTCATTATAATTCCTGAAATGTGATATTTAGGTAAATAAAATTAAAAAACAAATAAAAAAAGTTTATTAAATTAATATTTACTCTTACAAAATAGGTTCTTGTAAGTTAACAATCAATTATGCAGATGTTACTAAGTAAATGTACTTGGTTAAAATTCACACAGGAATGTGTTTTTAACATGTTAAATTAACTAACCCTTCTTATAACTCTTTCCACATGTATTCTTAGAGATGCTATTCTTTTACTTAATTGTACATCTTCTGGAGAACTTTTTTCATTCTGTGATACACTAGGTGTGGCTTTACTAAAGTGCATCCCATGTTTTCAAGTAGCTGAATATTCTGAAACCCCTATCTGCCATTATATGGGATCCAGAAACCAGTTTGTTTAAATACCCACATTTTTCTATTATTTCTTTATCACTAGTTCTTCCACAAAATGATGAATAAATTCGGTATCTTCAAAACATTCAGAAGATTCTGCATTTTCTTCCAGAAGGGTTTTTAGGTTATACACCTAAGAATTTATAGTAGCCTCATTTTCAATTTCCTGAAGGGACAATTAGCAGAAATTGCTGCTACATCTTGATAATCCGGTGTATTTTTATTAAAAAGTTCACGAGAAACATCGCTAGTAGAAGGTTGATTTTCTTCTTTCCAAATTTCTTGGAACACTAATAAATATTTTTGAAGATGAATGTAAATCATTATCACATTCTGGAACAAAACACTTTTTCGTAGTCATAATATTTATAAAAAGTACAAAATTAAACACTCAAATTCCAAATAAATTCTTGATCGAGACACTATGATGACAGATGCCATACACAGTGCTGCCATTTTCTGAATTAGTGACCCTCCATGTTAGTGACTTTTAAAACAATGAAATATTAAATATGGTGAAAGTTTAAACAGAAATAATACTTTCAAAAAACATTTGATATTATATATTTAAAAGATATTTGTTTAACGATGTTTTAGAAGTCTAAAAGTAAGAAGGAGTACACAAACGAACGTACATCACTTCTCGTAAACCTTCTAGCCGGCAACGTTGTGGCGCTAGCTCCTATTGGTCTATTCCCAGTGTCGTCATAAATTTTAAAAAATTCATAACTCTGGCAAATGAAGAGATAAAAAAATAATGTAGCTTTATTTTCAACTCTTATTCATAAAAAAAATTCAAAATTTTTGAAAATGCCCCATTGCAGAGAACTCGACATTACATAAAGAGGTTGTTGTTCGGGCATCGTGACTAACAGGGATGTCGCCTGTGGGTTCTAAGGAAAATACTTGTGAAAAATGGTTGGCCAGAGCTTCACCTGTTTCTTGATCGTTATTACATAATATTCCATCTATTTGTTTTAAAAAACGGGACTGATACTTTGAAAGATAGACAGCATCTTACGAGTTTAAATAGCTTCTTAGGGTTATCGCTTTTAGCGATATATTCTTCGTATTTTCTTCTTGCGTTATCAATAACATTGTTGATTAAATCGTTGGCAAAATGTCGATGGTTAACAAAATAATCATGTCTTTTGATTGTTTTAAATGTTTTCCACATATTATTCTTATGTTTAATTAGAGTTAAAAGTCATCCATTGATGAAGGGTTTTAATTTGTTTTGAGAACATTCTTCGTTTTTTGTGTTGGCCTTCACAATTTCAGATATCTTTGTATGAAATAATTGTCACATATCTTCTACTAATACAGTACTCCCAAAAAAGTGATTCCAATCAATTTTGGAGAGGACTCTCTTTACGTTACTAAAGTTTGTGACACTGTAGGTTACGTACCTATCTGCATTACTTATTTCTATGTTAAATTGCATATTAAATATAATAACACCATGGTCAGATTTCCCAATAGGTGAGACGACAGATGGAGAAATTAGAAGTTAGTCATTATTTGTTAATATAATGTCTAGAGTTGAGGGTTCTTGATTTAAGCGAAAGCGGGTAGGTTTGTTTATAAGTTGTTCAAGATTGGAGTCTATAATAAAATTTATAAAGTGTAAAACAGAGTTTTGCGATACTTCAAGACCTGTAGTAAGTGGCCCGGAATTTTTTGGGAAGGTTGAAATCCCCAACCACCACAAGATTTTCATGAGAAATAGGTTTGAAAGGACCTCAAAATTATAATCGATAATGCCAGTTAGACTACTCACAGTTAAACTACTCACCAATTTTAGGATCCACCGTTAGACCTTCCTCCGTTGTAGTATTTGGAATACATTCTGTTCCTTCACCAGTGGTGGCGTGAGAGTCTGTCATTGATGCAGGATGTAGAGGAGGAGGCAATCTTGTGAACGATTCCACTCTTACGGCACCTGAAATAAATAATTTGATTATTAACTATAATTCTACTAAAACAAAATAGTTCAGACGTATATAAACATGAAAACACAATTCTATTTATTTTAGAGAATCATATTTTTCACGTAATTAAGGAAGAAATTAATAAGCGGTGCTTGGACTGTATGGTGGTTGAATCGGTAGTTGAACCATGTCATAACTTTAAGTTCCAGTGAGAATTCTGCAGAATCAATGGATTACGATACTTTATTAATTGAGAAGTCAGGTAAATTTTTTTTTTTGGAATTTCAATTTCAATTTATTCAATTTTAATTTCAATTTATTCAATTTTAATTTCAATTTATTCAAATTCAAATAGTAATAAAGTACAAATAATAATAATAATCATATTTTAAGATTAATATAGATTACAAAAAATCTAGAATTAGCAACAAGCCTAAGCAAAAGCTGCCTGTGTTGCTTGTGCTGATTCTAAAAGATTTGAAATAAAACGTACATTTTATATTTTAGTGCCTAAGTAGGTATAAAAATAAGTAGGATACAAATTTTTTTTAGATTGAGTACATATGCAGAGCGAAGCAGACGAGGGTTATCCAGGAGTTATTCCAACATTTAATACAAATAGTTAACAACAAATTTCAATTTTAAATCAGGTATAACTTACAACATTATAGCAGTAAATGTGATTTGGTTATCTATTATATATTTTTTAATATTTTGTTTGAATATAGATAGTTTACTTTTTTGTTTGAGATGTATGGGGATTAGATTGTAGAACTTGGGACCAAAGTAAAAGAAGGATCTTTGGGTTAGAGATTTTTTAAAAAGTTGAGTAGAAAGGTCCATATTTGTAGTAGAGCGAGTCAATCGAGTTTGTTTATATTGAAATAGTTCAGGGCTATTATATACTTTTATGATACATTGGTAGATAAAGAGTGATTTAATGTTGAGGATTTCGTTTTCATTATATAATCGTATGGTAGTGAATAATTTATCTTTTTTTAATATTATTTTCAAAATTGTGTTTTGTGTTACTTGCAGAGTATTAAGTGTAGTGTTAAAAGCCCCTCCCCATGCCGTAATACAGTATCTTAAAACAGATTCCACTAATGAAAAATATGTCATGATTATTTTTGTCTTAGAGAGAATATCGCGAAGTACATAAAATGTATGCATTAGAGCCCTTATTCAATTACTAACATGAGTGCTATGCTCTGTCCAACGTTTATATTGGTCTAGTATAACACCTAAATATTTTATGGAAGCGACTTTTTCAATAGTGGGACATATGCAATTGTTTAGCTCGCAGTTTGGGCTGTGCAGTTTAATCGGTAAGTTAATTGGCTGATTTGTAGCAGTCGGGCTGAAAGCAATAAATTTTGTTTTTTTAATATTTATTGTTAGTTTGTTATAGTTTAACCATAGTGTCACCTTAGTTAATGTAGCTTCTGTTTTGCGATGTACGTTTTCCCACGTTTGTCCGGTGAAAATTATGGCTGTACCATCGGCATAACACACAAGATGACCTTGAAAATGATTAATTTTTGTTATACTATTCATGTAAACAAGAAACAACAAGGGACCCAAGACTGTTCCCTGTGGAACACCCACTTTAATAATTGATTCGCAGCTAAATTCAGAACCAATCCTTACTCTTTGAACACGATTATATAAGTAATCAGATATAAGTTTAAGCGCCACGCCCCGAATTCCATAGTCTTCTAGTTTGTTTAGAAGTATTTCATGAGAGACTGTATCAAATGCCTTGGCTAAATCAAGGAATACAGCAGTGCATGCCAATGATTCATCCAGGGCACCGACTACTTTTCTCATAAGATCTATAATTGCAGTTTCAGTACTTGAATTTTCTATAAAATCATGTTGATAGCTGGAGATAATGCCGTGAGTTTGAAAGAAAGCAGTTAGCCTCGCCTTCACTGCCTTTTTAAATATTTTTGCTATATTGTTTAATAATGAAATAGGTCTATAATTATTTACTCTGCTGGAATCCCCTGATTTAAATATAGGGGTAACAATAGATTGCTTCCATTGATGGGGAATTTTTCCAGTCTGAAAACATAGGTTAATAATATGTGTTAGAGGAGAAACAATATATTCATGGATGCTTTTTATTGCTTTTACTTCTAATTTATCTGGACCTGGTGCACAATTATTTTTTAAATTCGAAATAAAAATAGTTACTTCATTTTTTGATATTGGCCGTAGAAATATACTCGAATTGATTTGATCATTACTGATAAAATTATCAGGTAAGTTTGTTGTGGGTATTTTATTTGCCATTTCGTTTCCGAGGTTTGCAAAAATCTATTAAACTCGTTTGCTTTTTCTTTATTACCATTTAGTATTACATTATTTTTATTAGTGATCGGTATTATATCTATTTTATTAGTATTTTTTGCACGTCCTGAGATGTTATTAATAACTTTCCAAATTTTTTTTGAGTCGTTACCGGCTTCATTCATTTGTTTTTGATAGTATTCTTTTTTTGTTTTTTTTAATAATGCGTTTATTTTATTTCTATATTTTTTATACTCACTTTCAAATTCAGGACAAAAGTTTTAGTTTTTTTTTTTAAACAATCTCTATGTTTAATTGAAGATATTAGCTCTAAGGTAATCCACGGTTTAATTATTGTTATTTTATTTTTTACTATTTTTGTAAATGTTAAGTTAATTTACACAGTTTCATAATAAACAAAATAAAATTAAAAACATGGATGATTGTTACAATAAAAACAGATAATCAACCTACCTTCATCTATTAATATTCGCTAATAACCCATTTAAATATTTAATTTGCCAATATAATGTTTTTAAGGCACTGGAAGAATACATTTTGGCAATGAACATATATATGTGATAGCTTCTGCAATCATATGGGGCGCGATATCAATCATTATGCACCGATATAGTACGAATGATTGTACGTGAAGAAGGATGAATCTCCTCCAATATTTTGTTCTAGTATATAAAAAATAACCTGTCTTGTCAATAGTTTTCAAATAAAGACATACTTATATTGGTCAGTCCAAACTGATAAATAAGTGCATACTGTCTGTTTTTTTTTTTGGCAAATATTAAATTAATATAATGTGTATTTCTTTTAATTAAGAATACAAAACGGGACGAACCCAGGAACAGTATTCACTATTAGGTTAACATTAGATACAAAAATTTCAATTAATCAATAATAAAAAGAACCAAAGATTTAAATTGTATGGTCTAAAAAGAATTTATTTATAGTCTTAGTAAGCGATGACAACCAACAAGAAAAAAATATTAAAAGGTTTGATAATGAGTTTTATATGATTTACAGCACCTAACTGTAGGTGAATTTATATGATAATTAGTTGTGCTTGATTTTAAATAAAATATTATTTGATATTTAGTATTGTGGGTCGGAAATTAATTCATGTTTACGATTGAAGTAGTCAATCAATTATAGATTTTTTAAATACATGTTACATCGTACATTTGTCTTCTATCTCCTAGTGATATTCATCGTAAATTTTGCTTAATAAGAGATCGATTATTGACTTGATGCGAATAGAATTTTTTATTAAGATATTTAATAAATTTCTCTTGCACACATTCAAGTTTAGTTATGTAAATGTTATACTGAGGATTCCAAATAACAGATCCAAAACTTAACACGCTGTTAACGTAAGACATAAAAAGTGTCTCTCTTTTTTTTAAAGTCTTTGGACGTTCGTTTAATAAAACCAAGTGCCTTCTTTGCTTTAGTAATGACGTGATTGATATGATGGTCAAATAATAGTTTACTGTCATAAAAAATGCCAAGTTCTTTTACAACAGTTACTTTATCAGAAGTGTATTATTAATGTTATAATTATTAAGTAAAATATTTTTGTTTCTAGAAAAAATGATGTAGTGACATTTGTCGAGATTAACATACAAGCAATTACGGGTGCAATAGGATAATAAATTGTCAAGATCATTTTGAATCTGTGAGGAATCCAAATTCGTATGAAAAACCTTTAAATCGTCAGCGTATATAATACATTTCGAAAAGGTAAAACAATTGGCAATATCATTAATGTAAATATTAAAAAGCAGTGGTCCCAGATGAGATCCCTGCAATACGCCAGATATAATAATAGAAAATACAGAGCTATACATGCAATTTTAATAGCTTGAGTCCTGTTGCTTATATTAGACGAAAACCATTTGAGCAAATTACCATGAATACCAACCTTAGCCAGTTTATGGAGGAGTATATTATGATCGATTTTATCAAACGCTTTACTAAAGTCGGTATAAATGGTATACAGTAAACGCCAAATCTAAAGAACCAGCGCCAATGCTCAAGTTAGTTTACTTAAAAATCGCCACGCCCATTCACAATTTGAACCTTGTCCTTGCTTACGGTCAATAGCGTAACGACTAGATCATTGTTTGTTTCTTGTTTCTATGTTTTGGTTAAAGTGACTGGTTTTATTTTTGATAATGTTTTCTATTGTGGGTGAAAAAAGCGCAGATCTGTTATTAACGGACAAAGTCGTGAAGTAATATACAATGTTTTTAATTTAATGCCTTTATTCTCAAAATGTGAAACAATTTTTGCATAGACGATTTATTTTCAGTTAAAAATACGTTTTGCAGAATTATTTTTAGTATAACTAACTATTGTAATGTTTTAAATTTTTTTTTTTTTTGAAAATACGGCCCGTTTGACCAATATACAATTTTACCACAATTTAATTTATTTGAATAAGGATAATTTCTTGACCGTAACAGAATTTTATATAAATACCGAACGGAAAGCGCTAGAACAGCCTTAATCTAAAATCGGCTTACTTAAAAATAATGATTTTTTAATTGACTATAGAATTATGTACTAATAATAACACTAAGCAATATGTATGAACAAGTATCATTTACTATTTTCCATTTATTTTATGTCTAAAAATATACCTTTCTAGGTAAGCTACCAATTCTATTTATCCGGTAGGCGTGTTCGTAGCATTATAAATGCGCTTCCTTGGTTCTTTAGATTTGGCGTTTACTGTATCTATTTGCAATCCAA